GGAGTGCGTGCGTGTGCTGCTTACCCCGCGTTGGCAGGAGATGGCGGCCGGCTTTCAGTGTCAGGCTCCGTGGGAAGAGCTGGTGTGCCGTGGGTGGGAGCTGGTCCCTGGAAACCGGTAGAAGGTGCGAGGGGAAAGGCCGAGGGGCCAGGCCGAGGGGGTGTTAGAGCCAGAAACCAGACTCAGTGCAGGGATGGCAGGTGTGAGGCTGAGCAGCTGTGGGCAGAGCGACGGTGGCTGATCAGTGGGGCGGGCAAGCAGGGCAGCAGGCGGGGCGGCTGGTGGTGGGGCAGGGCTGGGGTGCATGGTGCTGGGCCTGGCCACATGGCCGTCACCTCGGCGATGCCTGATGCCCATGAAGGAAGTCAGCTGGTACTGAGCGTGGGTCAGGCGGTGCGGGCCGGGGAGCAGGCCAGACCCCTCTCGTGGGGCTGTTCTTCTGGGCGGAGGCAGCTCTCAGCCCCCACCCCCATGCGTGAGCAAGGCAGAGGAAGACGGGTGGGGGTCAGGACAGTGACGGGGTTGCAGGAGACGGGAAGGTGGTGAGGGGTGGCTGCTGGGGGGGGAGGAAGGCCTCTCCCTGTGGGCACACCTGAAGGGACCCCTCCTGCTGCCCTGCTGAAGTGGGGCGAATGGAAGTGTGGGGGGCAGGCAAGCCTCCTGGGCCAGGAGGAGCCAGGAGCAGCAGCACAAGGATGTCCTGGTGTTTGGCTGGTGTGTTGGGTACGTGTTTCTGATTGTGTGGTGCTGGGCATCAGGACAGCAGTGTGTACGAGTGTGCAGTTGTGTGTGGTGACACAGGTGTGCCTGAGTGTGTGTGGTGTCTGCCAGGACAGGGGTGCGTGAGAGTGTGCTGCTGCTGTGTGCGGGGCACGGGTGTGTGTGAGTTGGTGTGAGTTGTGGCATGTGTGAGTGTTATGACACGGGTGTATGTGTTGGTGTGTGTTGTGGCATGGGTGTATGTGAGTGTGCTGCTGCTGTGTGCGGGGCACGGGTGTGTGTGAGTTGGTGTGAGTTGTGGCATGTGTGAGTGTTATGACACGGGTGTATGTGTTGGTGTGTGTTGTGGCATGGGTGTATGTGAGTGTGCTGCTGCTGTGTGCGGGGCATGGGTGTGTGTGAGTTGGTGTGAGTCGTGGCATGTGTGAGTGTTATGACACGGGTGTGTGTGTTGGCGTGTGTTGTGGCATGGGTGTATGTGAGTGTGCTGCTGCTGTGTGCGGGGCATGCGTCTGTGTGAGTTGGTGTGTGTTGTGGCACGTGTGAGTGTGTTATGGCATGGGTATCTATGTGAATATGTTGGTGTGTGCTGTGCTATGGTATGCGTGAGTGTGTTGGCGTGTGTTGTGGCATGTGTGTGAGTGTGCTGTTGCTGTGTGCCAGGGCATGGGCGTGTGAGTGTGTTGGTGTGTGTTGTGGCACATGTGTATGCACTATTGCTGTGTGCAGGCCACACGTATGTGTGAGTGCATTGGTGTGAGTGTGTTGGTGTGTGTTGTGGCACACGTGTGTGAATGTGTTGGTGTGTTTTGTGGCACATGTGTGTGCACTGTTGCTATGTGCAGGCCACACGTACGTGTGAGTGCATTGGTGTGACTGTGTTGGTGTGTGTCGTGGCACACACGTGTATGCGTGTGATGGCATGTGTGTGAGAACTGGCATGTGCAGAGGCGCGAGTGGGATGGCTGTCACCCGCGTGGGCAGCTGTGCCCTGACAAGTCAGCTTGCAGACCTAGCCCGGGTCAGTCCAGTGAGTCCCTGGGCAGAATTCCTGGCTGGATTTGTTTTCTGTTTTCACAGACCTCTTCATGGAAATGAAATAACTTTCAGTATTTCCTTTTTTTAAAAAATATAAGGTTTTATTATAGGATGCATGTGCTTGCTAGAGTCAGAGAGAGGGAAAGTGAGAAATCACCTCCCCCCGAGGGGGATGGCCATGCTGCAGTCCCTTCTCCATTATCCTCTTGGGATTTGGGGCATGCACACACATGCATCTGGTGTGTATTTCGAGTGGCTGGGTCTGGGACCTGAACCGTGCAGTTGGCTGTGTGGATCCAGTGCCTTACCTCCATGCTACCTGTGGGCCCAGTACATTTCTATCCTGCTTTAATAACCGTGCAAACAGCACAGGGCACTGAAAAGGCGCCTCGATGGCTGTTTGCAGGTGAGCACTTCCGTGCAGTCAGCACCCCTGAACAAGACTGCTTCCAGCTTCTCGGACCTGCCCTGTGTTCCCATCCGGGGACTCCCCCGTTGGGACAGTACTGATCTTACACTCAGAGACCCTGGTCCCACCGAGTTCCTGCCCCGTGGAGAGGGGACCACTCAGGACGTGCGCTGGCTGATGCCGCTCAGGCGCAGGTGTGGGCAGGTGCGTGGGCACCTCAGGTGTAGACAGGTGCACTCTGTGTAGGAGCCACGACTTGGAGTTGTGGCCCTGCAGGTGGGACCGCCAGGTGTTAGCCTCTGGGAGGAGTGAGGCAGGAAAACCGCTAGCAAAGATTTTAGGTGTACTTAATAAATGCTTGAGCGTGTGTAGAAAAAGGGCAGATTAAGAGAATAAATGAAAATACATGAAAAACTAAGAGAAATAAGAGAGATTGCACTGGCATGTACCTCTGCCACACACATATGTACATTCATGTCTTTTGCTCACTCATCTGCTGGTTCTCTGTTTTTCTCACTCCAACAAAGTGTTTCACAGCAGCTCTACAATTTATTCTTGACAGAAGTTGACTTGGATATACTTAATGGACGTGGAGATGGGCCGCACGATTTGTAAAAAACATGACGAAGACATTGACAATTGTCCGTTGCAAGAAGGCGAAGGAGAGAAAATGGTTTGAAAATGAAACCATCCCCCAAAGAACCACACATTTTCTGGGAATAAAAAATACAGCGTCTGGGAGGGCCTTTGGGAAGAGGCTTAGAGAATGAGGGCTCCTGACCCATCCCCACTAGTTCTAGGATTCCATTCTGGGAGGGAGAGGGTGGTCATTTTACCCAGTCAGAGCCCAGGTCCTAGCACTGTGCTGACCCCGGGGAACCTGCGAACGTCTGCACCGCCTTCCTCTCTAATGGAGCCTGTGTGCTGGGTCCTGGCCTAGTGCCTTCCAGAGACCCTCAATGTTCAGGCAGGTGACATGGTCCTTTGCTCTGGCTCTATCCTGGGTCTCCTGGTCAGTCTGAGCTCTGACAGCACAGTCCTGGGACTGACAAGTGATCCACGAGTTCTCGGAGCATGAGAATGAGCCTCAGCCAAGGTGACACTGCCAGTGAGGCTGGTCTCCGGCCCAGTCCAGTGGGTGCCTCTCCTGGGTGCGGGTTGAAGCTGCTGCCCAGTTGGTGTGTGACCAGCAGGGCCATCTCTTGGGCAGTCTGCTGCCTTCCTGGGAACTCCTGGAGGGGCAGGTGGTGGCTCCCAGGGCGCCCGCTTAGGTGCCCTGGGCTCAGGTGGGCGGGCTTAGCAGCCTCTGTCCATGGTTCTGACGGAAGCTTGCACTTCAGCTTGTCTAACCCTCCTCCTGTTTTGTTTCTAGCCTGCCTTCCTCCTTCCTCCCTTTCTCCTTCCCTCCCTTCCTGTCTGTCTGTCTTTCTCTTCCTCCTTTCTTCCTTTCTTCTTCTTCTTTCATTTTCTTTTTCTTTTTTCTTTTTGGTAGTTTTGACACACCTGGAGCCCATGCTACCTGCTGCATGGCCTCAGTGCTTTACAGCTGTCTCATCTCTGTCTTACCATTGCTATTTTAGGTTCGATGCACTTTTATTGTGGACGCCAAACCTTGGAATTTTCAGTACACCATCCTGAAGAGCAACTGCACAAAAAACTAGGGGGAGGAAGCCCGGGCATTTCCGGTGAAGAGGCTGTTTCCTCTGGAGCTGGCAGACTGTGGTCCTCGGTGTGTGGCCGGTGGAATTAAAGCATCTCAGCACTTTCTGGGTCCCTGTGCAGCTCTTTACTCCCTCGCCTTGTTCATTTGCCAGGACAGTGCAGGTGGGGACAGTGATGAGAATCATGATTGCTGAGAGGGCCCTGGCTGCAGGTGCAGAGCATGGTGTTAACCCCAGCCCTTCAGTGGGGACTGCTTTGTGGGTCCATTTTCCCCTTCAGTCACCCCCAAATTACTCCATGCTCTCACTCTCTTCTACTCAGAAAGAAAGTAGTTTTGTCATGCAGTAGCCACCTATGTCCCCTCTGCTTCCATCGCAGAGACCAGGTGGCCCAGGCCCAGGGGCAGAGGGTAGCTGAAGGTGACAGGAGGGCACTGTGCTCTGTGGACCCTGGGGCTGCCTGACTGACAAGAGTCTTCTCAGGGCACAGATGCCAGCTGAGAAGATGCCAGGTGCTGCGGTTCACCCCCACCCTCCTCTCAATGCCTGAGGTCCCTGCCCAGGGCCCGGCCTCTACAGCTGTCAGCACCACTCGCTGCCCTGAGAGAGGCCCTGTGGTGGCAGGACACCCCTGCCCCCCATGAGCAAATCTCTCCGCTTGGGTCCTAGTGAGGGAGCGGCAGGGAGATGGGGACTGGGAGATGTGAGTGGGCTGGGGAGGAGGTGGCAATGCCGTCTGAATGATGGGCTGGAGGTGCCTACCCTCCTCCACCCTGCATTTCTGGAGACTCTGGTTTCATGTCCTGGCAGGAAGCCTGCCCCGTTCCCTGCCACCCGTTGTCATGAATTGGCCACGAGGGCTACTAGGACAGGGTTTCGAAAGCAGATCTGGTGGCTCCATTGGGCATAACACAGAGGGTGACCCGAGCCAGCGTGGCCCTCGGCTGACCTGTGTCACACCCCACAGCTGTTGACCTGTGTTGCACCTCGCAGTTGTCAGGGGCGAGTTTGTGTTACCAGGCATGTGTGCATGCGGTCAGCACAGCCGGTCTACACTGAGCCTGGCAGAGAGGGCGCTCAGGCCCAAGGGATGGGGCCATGGCACGGACTCATGCCCACCACTCGTGGACAGGGACGCCAGTGCTGCCAGAACTCCGGCCAGAGCTGCGCACAGCGGCCACTCACCTTCCACTCCCTGTCGCACCAGGGAGGACTGCCCTGCTGTCTCACGATATGCCCATCCATCCTTCTCCTTTCTGACCACAGAACACCCTACTGGTCTTATTCCCCCTTTTTCTTCAGGTCCAGGGTTCATCCCTGCCTTCTAGCAGACATCCTGTTGCCAGATATCAGACATACGTAGAGTTTCGGGTGACTGGCACTTGCCCCCAAGATCAGAAAACAGCTCTCCGAGGTACCAGTGCTTGTGGTTGTGCCCATTGCTGTCGGTGTGCTTTTCTGTGTCCTGCGCCCCAGGGCCTCGCTCTCACAGAAATGCAAACAGGACCCTGCTGTGGACTCCAGGAGCTGCATGTCACTGTCCTGGAGAGTCCTCCCTGGACTAGATCATTCATCAGGTGACCCAAGTCAGCAGGGAGAAAAGCGGATTTGGGAGTTCTAGTCCGTGGGTGCAGTAGAAACGGTGACGTGTATTTCTTAATTTCTAGATTCTGCAGAACCTAAGGTGCTCTCTGTATTTGATGGGATTGCCCATGTGGAAGGAGCAGGGCTCCTCGGAGTACGTCTGTGGAGACCCCGGTGGAACCAGGACTTCGCTGCCACTTCAGCACGGGGTCTACAGGGGAGAGGAGGTGAAGTGGAGACAGGAGGATGTCTCCTCACAGTGATGTTGCAAACTGTGCCTTGGGGACTACTCTTGACCCCTGGTCACCAGTCCCTGCCCCGTCAGCATGTCAGCACACTGGGCGGCCAGGCTCATGGCTACTCCCTAGGACTGAGCTCAGGACCAAGTGGCTCAGCTCCCCCGCTCCCCAGATCCCCATTACCTCTGCTGTCCTACAATCACTCCATCCACGCACGCAGGGCTCACTCAGGGCTTAGGAAGACTTGCCACAGCCACTTGTGATCTTTGGCCAATCCTTCCCAGAGAGCATTTTTCGAACAAAATCCCCACCAGGAGAAACGACTGTGTACCCTCTTCCTTTCTGTCTTAGGAAGTTCCATTGTTGACCCAGGAGTACCATCTGTGGTGGTTAATTTTAGGTGTCCACTGACTGAATACAGAGCACTGTTACTGCTGGGGGTGTCCGTACAGAGGAAATGGGCAGGTGAGTCAGTGGACGACTGTGGGACGTGGCCCTCAAAGTCATGTACAGAGTGACGGAGAGCCAACCTCGGATCTTCCCCATGGACCAAGCATCACCTGAGCAGAGGGTTACTGTAGCACCAGAGAGCCGGCCCAAAGTCTCCCTGGTCCTGAGGCCTTTGAGCTACAACCAGGCCACACACCTCAAGGGCTCCACGTGGCCTGTAGGGGACGTCTCAGCTCACATAATTGCATACACCAACTCTTCTATTAAATCTGTATCCATCGATTGATCGATCCACCTCCTGTCAGTTCTAGCTCTCTGGAGAACTTTTTCTTTTTTTTTTTTTTTTGGAGAGGTTTTTGCTATAGGGCGTGTGTGCTCACCAGACAGACAGAGAGAGACAGAGAGACAGAAAGCAAGAAATCACCCCCCAGGGGAGATGGCCATGCTGCAATCCCTTCTCCTCTGTTCTCCTCTCGGGATCTTGGGCACACACGCACACGTGCCCGGCGTGAGTTTTAAGTCACCGGGTCCGGGATGTGAACCACGGTCGACCACATGGGAGTCCAGCGACATAGCCATTACGCTAACTGCTGGTTCCTGAGAAAACAGTTCTTCCAACAGGGTCTTCATGCCATGATGTCCCCAGCGTCAGCTGGCCCAGATCATGAGCATACGCATGCCCGGCATGCTCAGAGAGGCTCTGAGAAGTGAACCCAGGACCTTCTCCCTGTGGGTCCAGTTGTGATACAGCTGCACCAGCACCCAGCCCTCTCTGGAGAACTTTGACTAATACACTCTTACAAAAGAAATCAGCAATCTATTTTCAGAAGCATCTCAATCCCCACAAAGAGTCTCAGTCTCTGTCTTACAGGCAGGTCCCTTGGCCACCGCCTCCCTGCATCCCTCTGCTCCCTGAGCTCAAAGGACCCTGAGTGAGCTCCTTCCCTTCTTCCTGTCTCCTGGCTGCAGATAAACCTCCTGGCACATGTAGGGTCCTGCCCTCCCTGATGGCACCCATGGCGCCCGCAGTACTTTACGTTCCACGGATCTGTCCTGTGGTGGATGCACGGAGCATAGCAGGCAGTTGAAGCCAATATATTGTCCACAGTATGTGAGCCTTGACTAGGTCTGTGTTTTTAATATAGGACGTCTAGGCAATCAGAAAAAAGACAAGGCATGGCACAGATGGTGGTGCACCTGTAAAGTGTCATGCTGTGTCCACATGAGTAGGCCCTGGGTTCGTGTCCTCCCTGGGTACACTGGGATGTGCTTGCTATGACCCAGGATGGCTGAGGCTGAGGGCGATTTTGGTGTTGAAACCCTGTCGGGTGGGGTTGTCTCTGTCTGTCTCTCTTGTCTCTCACTCATGGAAGAAATAAGTATACTTAAAAGAAAAAGAGACAGAGTTTAATGGAAAACCAGAAGCAAAATATACATCATAGCAACGAACCTGAAAAAACGTTTAAGCGCTATAGTCATCAGACATATAAGTATCTTAGATTAATAAATTCAATGAATTAAAAGATAGATAATACTGATAAAAACTGAAAACTACAGGAACTGAAATGAACAACGTATCAGGAGGTTAACCTCAGATTAGTAGCAGTTGGAGAGAGAATCAGACAATGTGAAGACAGGATGGAAAACAAGAGGAAATCATAGGAGTGACACTGAGGAACATGAGATCTCCCCAGTAGAGGAAGAAAGAGATGTCAGGGCAGAAGCAGTATTTGAAAAAGTAAGCTCTTGAGGATTTTAGAATTGAGCAAAGCATCAAGCTATTGATTTAAGTGGCATTAAAATCTCTAAGCATGATAGAATAAATGAAATTCACAAATGAACATGAAATAGCTAAAAACCAGAGATAAAGTAAAAAAAATTATGCCTTATTTTTAGAACTACTTTATTTAACATTTATTTATTTATTTAAATTTGACCAGAGAGGGACAGAGTGAGATGGAGAGAGAGAGAGAGAGAGAAAGCAAGTTGCCAGGTCCGGGACTCAAACCGCGGTTGGCCATGTGGGAGTCTAGCACACTTAACCACTACGCCACCTGCTGGTCCTATGCCTTAATCTTTAACCCTCTGCCATTTCCCACCCTCCTCCCACACTATTTCAGGCGTCTACAGTTGTTTTCCACTCCTTTTTCCTCCACATTTTATTGATTCACATAATTTCTTAAATAATCTAACTACTTTCAATAGTGAGTTCAGCTGGTATATACATATCCGTGAATACATGTCTGACTTTAGGCATAAAACTGAGTAGAATGGATTTACTGTAAGGTAGTACCTAGCTGATGCTATATAGTTTACTGCAGTCATTAAACAGGTATTTTTAAATGTATTTTTCAATTTCAAGAAAAGCAATTTTAGCTTTAATAAATCAAAGAAATGCTAAGGAACTTTGCTTAAAAATTAAAGCCAGGAAATAGTTTAGGATTCTGTTCAAATAGTAGGAATATGAACCTATCAGTAGCTCAAAACAGGACAAAAGTCCTTAAAACTGGAAAACAAAGCCTAGACAAAAATCAACAATGTTTTAGTAAAAAGTCATAAAATTCTAGTTCACCAGTTCAGTCTCATGCACTTTATCTTCTGTTGTGGTTCAATCTTCCCGACTAAATTCTGGGATATAATATTCAACTCCAGACTTGTCCCTACAATTAAGTTGGCCATTTTCTTAGTTTTTGAACTCTTATTTCTGTATGACTGTATTCAATTTTCCTGGTATAGAACTCCCTTTGGAAATTCTTGGCGATCTGATCTGGTGTTGGTAAATTCTTTCAGGTTTTGTTTATCTGAGAATGTTCTTGTCCTTTTTTTCCC